GTTGTCCTTGATTATTTCTAGGTTTTCTTTTACCCGAGTGGCCTCATCAAAGTCTGCATGTCCACCATGTAATCTTTGAACGGTTCCCTGAAACCCGGTTTCCGCTGTTTTACCTTGTCTGCCAATTTCGAGAAGAACCCTCTCGGCAGAATGTATGTCTCGAAACTTTCGCTGAACACTCCGCATGTTCTCCAATGTTTATTGTTTGAAATAAACCATTTCAGTGCCTTGCAATAGCTCTGGCATTGCACGTGGGATTATGTTCAGGTTCAGACCGTACGTGTTTGCGGACCTCTTTACCTGTTCTAGGAATTCCAGTGGTTTCTCTGTGCCATCGAATTTGAACGACCATTCTGGCACTTGCTTTGCGATTTTGGCGTAATCTGGTGTGCTAGGTATTTGCTGCCCTGATTTTCTCTCTTGGCTTGTGTTTCGACTCCTTCCAGCTTCCTTCATGCTGTCCACTCCAAGACTTGCTATGAGCTCCTCGGCGTCAGGGTTCAGCAATTTTGAGATATATCCAACCTTTCCCCATTTCTTTTTAGATGCTGATTCTCACCGACCGGACAATCACGTTTTGGGAGCCAGATGTAACGAACTGATTTGTATGGTCTGCTCGCTACGAGTATAGTGCGGCTAGCTCAGAAGATGTGTGTTGTTCGTCCCACCAAATTTATATAAACGTGACCGCCCGATTGTCTAATAAGAACGCACAAAATGTTAGGATGTTTATACTAGGATCTTTATTCGACGACTTGTCCCTCGGCCTGGGACTAATGGTGACAGATGGTTGTCTCAACGCCTTCCCTGATGGATTGTGGCTGCTCCACCGTCTTTCTCCGCTGCCTCGTTGCTCGCTGCTCCGGAACGCCTCCGCTGTCTTCTGCCTCGGGGCTATGTGGGTCTAGGGATGCGTTACCGTTCCCAGACTAGGGTGAATAGGCACTGGGCTCTCAAAGCGTACGTCTTTCGCAGCCACAGCCTCCCGTCCCTGGATCTGTCCCTGTGGCAGGACGCTAGGTTCAAGACGAACGCTTCCGCCCTCGCCTCTTAGCCGTGGAGTGGATACGACGGAGTATGGCTTGGTTGCTGCTGGGCCTGCGACGACTGCTCGTCGTTTCTTGTGTCCTTGCTCTGCTCACGGCACGATCTCCTGGCTCCGTTGTCCGCGTGCTCTTGTGAGACTAGGTGCAACGGGTCTTTGGCTCTCGGGATTTGGTCAGCTGCCTTTCTAGGACTCTGGCGGTGAACTACTGTGCTCTCGACGCCTCTCGAGACACCCGTGTTTCGGACGCACGTCCTTCTTGGCTAGTCGCACCAGGGCCTGCACAATTCCCGCCTACCGGTTCAGGCGTACGCCGGAATTCGACAAGGCAATTGTTTTCGCACGGCAGATGGTTCTGGACAACTTCCCTTCCGAGCCCACGGTTCTTTGTCGAAGGACTCTTCTTATTCACTTCTGTCGGATTCGCCGAGCAATACGCCAAGCTCAAATCGCGAGAAGAATTAGAACAAAGCGCCTAGACTTAGCCGCCTGATGCCTGAAGGACCTCAGCTACCTGTTTCTCAGCTCGGAGACTTCAACTCTAAGTCCCGAACGTCTTGATGTAGCGATCTTGCTCCTTGTTGACTCGGCGCGGCTCTGCTTCCTCCTGATGTTAACTTGGCTTGTGTTGTTCACTGATTTGCTGCTTGTCTACTGATCTCGTCGGATTGACTCCTTGTGATCGACTGATCCCGCTTCCTGCGCTCGGCCTGCTTATATAGGTCGGCGTATCCTATTAATTCTCGGCTTCTCCTTTTTCGTCTTTGCGCACGGCACTATACTAGGTTCCAAAGTCCGCCGCCTTCTACCGTTACTCCTTCTCTCCAAACTCTCTCCAGCCGTATTCTCCAAACTTTCTTCTCGTTCCTCTACAAACTCTCTCCAGCTGTATTCTCCAAACTCACTCCAGCTGTATTCTCCAAACTCTCTTTTATTTGTGAGGAGTTATTTAACTTTATTTAATTTGAAACTGAAAAGCTTGTAAAATTTGCATCTAGCTTATATCTTAAAATATAGCTTATTATTATCATTTGGAGTTGTGAAATTAAATAAATCGTTTGCTAAAATGCCGAATGTGAAATATAAACTAATTTTTCGCGATGCTTGGCTCCAAAATAAGGCAGAATGGGAAAATATTAATAATACCGTAAAATTTTGGGCAGAGGCATAGGATTATAAGGATGCTGGAGAAAATAAGCCATCACTTGCCTTTTTTGCAATTCAAATGATTTCCTTACCGTGGTCCAATGCCGAAGTGGAACGGGCTTTTAGCTAAATGAACATAATTAAAACAAAATTGCGCAACAAAATGCATTTAAATACTTTAAATGCAATATTAAGCATAAGTTTTGCTATATTTATTTAATCAAAATTGTTTAATTTTTAAGTACTTCTTTTTAATTTTCAGATATGGATTGCGCAGGCATGGGAAATGTTGCCATACGTAAAATACATACACCTGCCGGAAAAATACATCATGCTTAAAAAAAAAATGAAAAATATTTAAATGACGATCAAGATGACGAAGTCGATGAATTATTAACTAATTTAATTTAATTGCAAACTTTAAGAACATATATATAAGTAAGGCTTTAATAATAAGATATTTAATTAGATTACCCAGGCCAACAAAATTTTAGAAAATCCCGGACCCAACAACTGGACCCACTTTTTCTTATGCAATTTTTCGAATCCAAATCCGGTGCCAAAATTGCTCCAGCACCCACTTATATTTAAAAACTGATATTAATACTTTTAGTGCAAACCAGGAACAACGACGTGGACGTAGTTAATTAATCATGCACCCCGATGGAACAAAAACTACTACGTCCACGTCGTTGCTGGTTTGCACTAAAAGTAATATCAGTTCTTAAAAAAAAGTCTATCAAATTGGATCAGTCAGTAAAAAATTTTTTAGCTGTCATTTCTAAAAAAAAACCGTTGTGAGCATTTTTTTAGCAAAGTTGACAGCTGCCTTGACAGCTGTCAACTGTCAAAATGCAAATTTGATATCAAATACGTAATCGCGACCACGAAATGTTTCACAACTGTAAAGTTTCTGTAAATAACTATTCCTATTTTGGTTTGGGCGTTAAGGGGTTCAATAAAAATATTAACATTCTTTAAATGGTCATATCTCAGGAACGAATAATCGTATTTAAAAAACTAAAAAAAATTTTAAAGGTTTGCACTTTAAGTTAAAATTGGTGCTAATGTTCAAAAAAATTATTATCGAATTATATATTGTTAAAATATGCCAAAAACGTCAATTTTGACACTTTTAGGTTAGAATATCTAAATATATCTAAACTGTGGGTGCTGGAGCAATTTTGGCACCGGATTTGGATTCATCGCGAAAAATTGCATAAGAAAAAGTGTGTCCAGTTTTTGGGTACATACAAAAAACTATTATAAATTCATCAAAAAGCGCCTTTATTTCAAGTGAAAATTTCAAAAACTGTTGAAGATATAGCCGATTTATTTTGGAAGCCTCAGGCGACGGCCACAGCTTCTCAAAACTTTAAACGCGTTTTGCTCGAAACAGTATTTTTACGACTGGCGTATGAGATTACTCAAAAACTATTAATCCAATCGTTTCCAAATTTTAAAACGTTATTCTATGCATATATAGCCATAGCATGAACTATAAATCAAATCGGTGAAGATCTTCAGTACTTTTTACATTGATTTATGGCTGAAAAGAAGGCGATTTTCAAAAAAAAATGTTCAAGGGTCCGCCATTTTGCTCATTTTTGTACCAATTTAAAAATCCTAGTTCATGCTGTAGCCATACATATACTCTTCCTAATTCCGTTGGAATTTTTGGTTTCAGATGTTCCAGTTAGCTTAAATCCCATACGTCGACAAGAAAAGAAAGACTTTTGTTCAATTACAAACAAAAAAAAATTAAATTATATTTGTTTTTTATTATTGGATGCAATGGATGCAAAGTTGCAATAGATAATACATGTACATTTTCGAGCACATTGAAAATCGTCCAAATGTTGTTGCATTTCAAGTTGGAATCGGCTGGAGGAATTAAGAAGGAGGTATTCGTTTTTGGTAGGGCTATCGATAAAGTAGGAGGGTGGCAACCCCTACTGGAGTGGCGCCCCCTTCTACTGATGCCCTTGGCTATCTAGCTATTGATATGTCCAATGAGCCAATTTCCAGAGAGGCAAAGGGAATATGGCGAGATAGGAATGATAGGCAGGTTTTGATATAGTCGCAGCCATATTATCCCAGCAGACGGAAGAAAAATGTTGAAGTAGTGTTTGTGCCGAAATATAAAAAAACAGTGAGTGTTAGAGAAATTTGTGTTAGGTTTAATAGTTTATTTTATTTATAAATAATTATTCGTAGGGCAACCGGGGTCCCCATACATAGGGCCCCGGGATATTTAAATTGGAAGTTTAAATCGGGATTTCAAATTGGAATAATTGAATTGGATTATTTAAATTGGAAGACTAAATTGGACTATTTAAATTGGAAATCTCAAATTGGAGAATTAAATTGGAGGATTAAATTGGACTAATTAAATTGGAATATTTAATTCGGAGATTGGCATCCATATCCATACGCACCTTCGTTCGACCCAGCGATACGAAGCAGACCAGCATAACTAGCCTTCCTCGGATGACGCCAACGCTTTTATAACAAACGCCGGTGAGTCCATTCCGAGCTGTTAAGTCGCCTTGGGGTTATCCGGCTGCCAATTCGCGCCGCGTCGAGAGGCACAACCATCTGTCCCTTCCTTAACCACCGTTCCTCGGGGTGTTCCAGGCCCTTGTTGCTGCTGACCTCCGGCAGAGTACGCTGCAGTCGGGGCATATTTAACCCGGCGCCTAGCCCAGAAGTGGCTGAAATCATTAATGTTAATTTGAATGTGCACATTACTAAATTTATGTACTTACCTGTTGACCTGTAAATTTATCCGGACTTAGACCCCTCAATTTGTCCTCGTTGTTGCCTGTGAAAAAGGTGGCGATTATTTTTTCGGCGGGATTGTTTACAGCGCATACTACTTACCGTTTGGCCTGTCCCTTCTTTTCCCTAGGAGCTCCTCAGGATTAGGTGACCCGACACATACCTAGTGTGTGCCCTTTTTTGCGCCTCGTTCCACTGTGAGTTCCACCAATACGTGTCTGGTGGAACATTATTTACGCGGCGCCTGTAGCCTTTGCCAAAGGAAGGTAATCTTCTGCTTTGACCGCGTAAATATGTAGACGGTGGCCAAGTTTGGTCGTAAAGGCTAAGAAAAGATGAATTCATTTCTAGGAGTACTAGTTATGTTAACTTTAGTACTTACTGTGGATAATTAAATGTATATAGAAACCGAAATGTGTGAGTGAGTTGTAGCTGTGGGGGAGATGGAGCTGTCTTAGTCGCGAGGAGCGACTCCGACCAACTGATCATGGGTGATGCCTCCGTAGAATCCTCCGGGGCATCCTTGGTTGGGTGGGCGTGCTTGGCTAGGTCACCAATAGCCACCAAAACTCCATATTTTTCCCGTCAATTATAATTATTTACGTTGTTTACATTTTGTTTGTTTTGTTTGTTAGTGATGAGCGATAGTTTTTTGTGATGTGAGACGCGTGTCATCGATGTTTATGTTGTGGATACTGTAGGGATATTGGGGATACTCCGCCCTGGGGATTCGGGAGCTAGCCGGCGCCGTCCCAGAAGTCTAAAATGCAGTTCCATAACATAGTGGCGCCCAAAGTAAAAAAAATAAATCGTCGAGACGACGACGTCTCGCATGTAGGGATTTGCCTCGCATAGCCTCCGCCCCGGTGACTTGCAGGGCAACAGCAGGTTACATGCAACTGCACCGGGAATGGTGGGCTGCGAGGCAGAGAGAGAAAGATTTAGGGGAATTTATGTTTTTTGAGCAGGCAGGAGGCTTGGCTCCGAATGGAGACAATGGCTCCTGGTCACAACACAGACTAGATGACCTGCGGGTGGCATCTTGGCCCAGAAGGGAACAGATTAGCATCCGCAGATAGCTAAATTTGTGATAAAATAGTTAGGGCGTAGATTTTTATTTATTTATATTTATATTTTGTGTTCGTGGGGTAAAGTCAGTTGTATCAATTCCATTTGTTGTGTTTTTTGTTGATCTGGAGGCTTTTGTTTCTCGGATGTGTTTGATACCTTCTGTCGGTTGGATGTTTAAATGTGTGTTCGTGACCCGTGATATACACGCGCTGCACGAACACCTCGATTTAAGGATCAAAACACAAACGGGAAAACAAAGCCAACAGGACTCAACCACCAGCCAAAGTCCTTAACTGGCGGCTATCACCACGGGTGATAGCCAGTTCAGTTGACGAATGGCTAGGATGTGACGGGAAAAATTGGGTTTTGGAGAAAGCACAGGAAGAGTTAGGGTCAGTTCCATCTCCCCTGATTCAAATCTCAAAAGAATCCAATCAAGACAAGAAGAATCATATATATATGATTTATTTATTCTTTTTATTTATTTTCCCAAGGAAACCACACAGTGTGACGATCCCGCCTGACGGCTAGGCCGCCACAATATATATTTAAGCAATAGTTATCTAAGTTTCACATTATTACCATTAGTATGTAAGAGATTTAAAATGAAGTATTATAATTTAGTAATGGTTAAGCGGTCTTATGGATTTTAGGGTATAAAACCAAAATAGGTCAAGTTTGGTTCCGCACCACCTGCCCGAGGTGGCAACCATTGAGAAAAATACTGGAAAATAGGGAAAATACCAAACCTTCCTTGGTGAGAAAAGGTCCAAAAGGATGAGAGGGTCACACGGCGGTTTCCGGCACTCTCTCTCGGCTCTTGGGCTTCGAAGCGATCGGTCGCGCACGCGGACAAAGTAAAATAAAGAAAACACGTGTGAAAGAGAACGCGGTCGGTAGGAAATAAGGTTAGTGAATCAGTGTAATCGGCGCAGTGAAACACAGGGACGTTTTAAAACCAAGGAATTAAACTGAGTGAACTCGTACGAAAAGAAACGTCAACCCGGATTGTTATGCATTTTATTTTTACCCCGTACCCCTTTGTTCCCCGAGTGATTCAGGCCGTTAGCGACTGATGAGCCAATTGGGAGCGGTAAATTATTTGCACCATATACATACACGTTATCCCGATCTACTGAATTTCACCCACTAACCTGCCTGCGTAGTGAGGCGGAAGATCCCCTCATTCTCCTACTTAATCCCCCTCCCCCGCGAAGTGGCAGATCCCTTCGTGCCCTACTAACCCCCGCGGCGAGACGGAAGATCCTCTCACGCATCCCCCTCTAATATCCTACCGCGAAGTGGCAGATCCCTTCGTGTCCTACCAACCCCCGCGGCGAGACGGAAGATCCTCTCCCGCATCCCCCTCTAATATCCTACAGCGAAGTGGCAGATCCCTTCGTGTCCTACTAACCCCCGCGGCGAGACGGAAGATCCTCTCACGCATCCCTCTCTAATATCCTACCGCGAAGTGGCAGATCCCTACGTGTCCTACTAACCCCCGCGGCGAGACGGAAGATCCTCTCACGCATCCTCTCCTCGTATCCTACCGCGAAGTGGCAGATCCCTTCGTATCCTATTAACTCCGACGGTGAGATGGGAGATCCTCTATTAATCCCACATCTTAACGGAAAGGCAGATCCTTCCGACTAATCAAACTTGTTTCCAGCCGGTCAACAACGATAGAATCCGGCTGCGGCCTCGCCCGAAGGTCCAGCCCGTGGGATTCTTGCCCCTCGAACCACGTATCTCGGCCGACCACGATAGAATCCGGCTGCGGCCTCGCCCGAAGGTCCAGCCCGTGGGATTCTTGCCCCTCGAACCACGTATCTCGGCCAACCACGATAGAATCCGGCTGCGGCCTCGCCCGAAGGTCCAGCCCGTGGGATTCTTGGCCTCTCGGACCACGTATCTCGGCCAACCACGATAGAACCCGGCAGCGGCCTCGCCCGAAGGTCCAGCCCGTGGAATTTTTCGTCCCGGAAGGACTTGGTGGTCTGACGTTATCGTACCCTCGAAGGTCCTGGAGCACTTCGGGATAATTGATCAAAAATCGTCGTTCGCCGCGCGAACATTACTCTCTAGCCCTATGTCTCAGTGACTTTACAAATTTCTTGTAAAAGGACCTCTGGATCCGACTGAGAGTTGTATCCTGGCCAGAGAGCATCCTTACAAGTGGCGCCCGAACAGGGACATTGAGGCTAACTAGAGCAACACCAAAGTGGCCTAAAGACCCACTAAGATAAAGATCTTTATCCCGAAGGATCGCGCCCCTGCCGAGTGTTACAACTGTGAGAGCAAAAGAAAAGGCAAAGGAAAAGGAAAAGCAAAGGAAAAGGAAGAAGGTTCACGTATCACAATAAACCATGGCTAATACGAAGGAGTCGGACGGCGAGTTCGAGGAAGCCGATTCGATAGAAAATCCAGGCGTAGGAGTACGATGGATTTATGCCCGGCGTAAAGACGAGTTAGCCGCTCTAGCACTCGAGTTCGGGTTTAGCGCCGACGGCACCGTAGCAGAAACGCAGAAGGCGTTCGCTACACTCGTAAGCACAGGATCGTTTCCAGAATCGGTGTGGAGACGACTCGCTCAACTACAGGAGCAGTACAGTTCGAGAGCCCAAGTTGACCAGAAGCAGGCTCCATATTTTGCCAGTCATAGTTTTCCCGGAAGACTGACAAGCTATCGAGGTGTCCATCCCGGCACGTCACGAGATTTTACCGCCTCATCACTCGGAAATCATGGCTTGTCGAAGCCGCCAGAGTCAGAAGTTCCACTCATTATCACTCTTCCTCGTCATTTACTAGCCGAGCGGATGCATAAATGGAATCTACGATTCGACGGGACGTCGGACCCGCTGACCTTGATCGCTGAACTTGAAGAGAAGATAGCAACCTACGGAATCAACCAGGAGGAAGTACCCCGCGCCATGTCAGAGATTTTGGAAGGTAGGGCAGCGCGATGGTTCCGCACGAGCCGCTTACAGAAAGCTACGTGGGCAGAGTTTCGCGCCGAATTCTTAAGTTTCTTCCTGCCCCCACGTTACTTCGAGCGACTAGAGGACGAAATCCGAGCTCACACCCAGGGAGCGGATGAGACGTTTAAGGAATATTTGGTCGAGTTGAGGACCAAGATGCAGCAAGCCGGATACCAAAAGGAAGAAGAACTCTATCGGATCTACGAAAATATGGCACCGGAATATCGTCTGTATATAAGACGCCACGAGTTCGCGACGCTGGAGCAATTAACCCAAATGGCAACGGAATACGAAAGTGTGAGGCAGCTGACGTCGAGTCGCGCAGGTATTCCTAGGACGACGACTGCAGACCGGGATAGGGCCAACGCCCGTCTGACGCCGAACCCCTTTCGAGGCCACGGGGTACCCGTTCAAGGAGGGAATGCAACTCACCGAATATTCAGACAGCCCCTCTCGAACGTCGACGTACAGCGAGCTTGTAGTAGATGTGGAGAAGTCGGTCACTTTAGGCGGGGTTGTCGAAGGCGGTCGAAGGAACACATTGACCGTCGACTGTTGTCGCCGGGATACCCCGGGAAACGAACAACGTCTTCGCCGAGATGCGGGCGCAGCGGAGACGAAGGCAGTAACAGCCCGGCACCAAGAAACCCACCATTAAGGATAAGCAACGGCCTGATCACTGCTTCCGTGCAGATCGGAGGCCGATGGGTGGATGCCACGGTGGATACAGGAGCGTCGAGGAGCTTTGCGAGTGAAGGGTACGCTCGTATGGTAGCAAGACCTGAGGAGATGCAGGAGATCATCACTACGATAGCGTTAGCTGATCGGTCAAGCCTGGCAGTGAAGAAGTTATGGCGTACTCGCGTGGAGTTAGCTGGCACGCGAGTGTGGATGCCATTCTTGGTGATGCCAACCATGTTGGATCGCGTGATATTAGGTATGGATTTCTTGGCGGCAATGGGAACACGCCCTCGGTGCGCCCGTCGGTGGAAGACCCCCGACTGCGGCCGAGCAAAGTCGATCGGATGTCATCAGAGGATACGAACTCGGAAATACTCGAAGGAAGGAGTATGACGGTTCTAGGGGGTCAAGAACCCGACGATAAGGACACCAGGTATGCAGAGCAGAGTGAGGTCCCCGCACACAACCGGATCATGCGTCAGATGGCCCCATCAGGAGAATTAAAGAACGACGGAGCAGACGGGACCGGGAGGCACGACGAACCGGGAAGGGCCTTGCAGGACTTTCCAGATGAAATCGACGAAGCAGAGGGCGAAGAATCAACGGCGGAAGAGGATGATCTGAGACCCGACCAGCGGGAATTCATCACTCGCGAGTTGGCGCTTTTCAAGGAGCTTCAAGGCGTATCACACGTGGCGGAGCATCGGATTGTAATGCGAGACGATAAACCCTTGAAACAATGGTACTACCTAAGGAATCCGGCAATGCAGAGCGTGATCGACACCCAAGTGGACGAACTA